GTCTAAATACACTTGTACGTTTTTCTACAGATAATATGTTATATAAATAGTTAATGCAATCTTTCAGTAATATATTACTGAGCTGTGAAGTGTAGGTGGGTCTGTGTTTCTCCAGGTGGATGAATCATTGTGATTCCTGTAGGTGGTGTTTGGTTAAGAGCTTACAGTTAGAACTGCTGTTTTTAATGCATTTGCTTTTACAAACTCTTTCAAAATATACTTTGTGTTATTCAGTAACTGCAGAATTTTGAGACATTCATCTGCCAGTTTAATTTTGTGAGGGGTCATAAGGACATCATATTTATATCATTAGATAAGTCTTTGTACTGTTTTCTTTTAGTTTTATAATGAGAAATTGTGACTTAATGTGACTGAAGAGTATAATATGGGTTATATTATATACAGTATATATATATATGTATGTATGCATGTATGTAGTAATACATCCCTGTAGTCACAAGTCCCTTCTAGAAATAAGTGAAGAGTTAAAAGGTGTCTATTGATCAGTTCACAAGGCTTGGTGGTCACGTCTCATTTCAGAGATCAAAGCTCAGACGAGTGGCCAATCTGTTTTGGGCCAACATCTATCAATAATTAAGGGCAATAAGAGGTTCATTCAGAGTCAGTCATTATGATGAGAAAATTAGATGTCTTCACTCGGTTTTCATGAAAATGCAGCTCTTTGTTCATCAAAGGGAACGTAGACGTGGAGAGAAGATGCCCTGAACTCGACGCATACGCGATGTATTTTCAGCCACATTTCTGTGTATGTGTGCATCTCTTATAAAATACAGCCAGAATTACAGAAGCTCTGAAGTCCAAACAAAAGGTTGAGGGTCTTCAAAAGCAGACACTCAACAGATTTAATTCTTCATACTGCGTAAGGAACATTTCAACAAACACAAAAGTAAGAGTAAGTTCAGTTTCAGAGTGTGGATTTTCATGAGTCGTGATCACCTTAGGAAGTAACCATAGCAACAGCAGGCTGCTGGAGTACTTTCCATGAGGATCCATATCAGCCAATACATTGGTAAAACATAAATACTGTCATTATATATGACTTTATAAGATTAAAATTTCACATGTATTCAGGGATCTCACACTTTTTGACCAATACACTTTCTATTAGTCATTTGTGATAATGTTTAAATCAATTTGATTCAGATCGATTCACTTATGAATCATTCAGGCTGTTCTGAACAATCTGAATGAACGGGTTCAAAAGTTTTAGTCTACAAAAGATCAATATCTAGATGAATTATATATTCAAGGTCAGAACAAAAATACTATATGTGACGAGTGGGGGCGGGGCCGAGAGCAGTGGGAACGGAGCGAGGCCGGTGGAGTAATTGATAATGAGCGACACCTGCACCACTCACCGGTCTCGGGTCCCACGGAGGAGCTCCGGAAGGATAAAAGGAGGAGTTATGACAGTGAAAGACGAGAGAGGACCAGGGCTGGATTTTATTTTGTGTTTTGTGTGCGGCAGTCGTCCGCGCTGCTGCTTTACTTTCATTTTGTGTTTGTTTATTTTATTAAAGTCTTGAACGTTCGCCGGTTCCCGCCTCCTTCTTCCCGTGACTACGAACTTTGTTACACTATAATCACCACAGAAATTCAAATATTTTCTAAGATGTTTTATTGTTTGACACACTGTAGAGATATGTCAAAATTACTTACTAAATAAATAAATATTAAAATCCAATTATATATATATATAAATTGAGGTTTTAATATATTGCAGTTTTTAGCTTAATTTTAGTAGTTTACTGTCTAAAGTCATTGTAAAATTTGCACACTTGTAAATTTCAAAAGTTGTATTCCTCACAAGAATTACTGGAGTTCTAAGTTACGTTTTATGGAAGCCTCAACATGGTCTCAGACACATACAGTGTGATTATAGCTCCATAATATTTAAGGTGACTCTATAGTATTCTGGAAGAATTTGATAACACATGCTTGAGATCTCTGACTT